TATAGTAATTAATTATTTATTTATGATTTTAGGAAATATTACCAGGATAATTCCAATAATGTTTGTTCTGTCTCCGGAATAAACAGGAACTCTACTGTGACCCATTGTCATAATTGCATTTAATGTATCCCTGTAAAAAAAAAAAAAAAAAGAGTTGATTTACATAGAAACATTATAGGCTTAATTTTTATAAAAGACCTTATATTTTGTGTTTTTTCTGGATTAAGCCTCGACTTTATTTTTTTTTCATGAAAAGGACCTTGCGTTTTTTCCGATCTAGTCATTTTTCTTGAAAAAAGTTGTAAAATGTGAGTTTTTTCAGGAAAAAGATATGTTTTTTTTTTGGATTAAACCTCAAATTTATTTTTTGCCTGAAAAAGACCTGTTTTTTCATTTTTTTTTTCCGAAAAAGCCCCCAACTTTTTTCTGAAAAACAACCCTCACACTTCTAAATGCTTCCAAATAAACCCTCAACTTTTTTAGTTTTTCTAAAAAAAACCGTTACATTTTACCCTTTTTTTTGGCAAAAAATGACTAAAAGGGCCAGATCGGGAAAAATGAAAAAAATACAGGTCTTTTTTAGGCAAAAAATAAATTTGAGGTTTAATCCGGAAAAAACACAAAATATAAGATCTTTTTTGAGATTAACCAGAGGAAAACTAAGAAAGTTGAGAATTTATTTGGAAACATATAGAAGGTTGAGGGTTTTTTCGGAAAAAATGAAAAAAAATATAAGGTCTTTTTTATGAAAAAGATAAAAATGAGGTTTAATCCAGAAAAAACACAAAATATATAAGGTTTTTTATGAGATTAATCCAATATGTGTTTATAATGGTGTTATATATATATAATAATATAGATAATAAATATATGGAAATAAAGTAATAAAATAAACCTACAAAGTAAGAGTTCCATCAAGATCAAGGGAAAATGCTTTGGATATAGGAGTCATGGCATCTTTTGCAGTTTTTTCAGTCAACTCAAGTGCTCCAGCAATTATGGTAGTTTCATCATGTGTCAAATCTCCTCCTTTTCCAGCCTATTTTAGCATTATGATTTAATGTTTTATTAGAGGGTTATAAGGGTATTTTGGGTATTTAAAAAACTAATTACTACCTCATTGCCATGAAAATCCACAAAAGTTTTCAACTCTGCCCTACGAAGAAGGGCAGCATGCCCTTTTCCCAACATCCAATCTAAAGCCTATAAAAACACAAATACAAAAATATATCACATTATTTCACATAATTACTCAATAATATAATAAATAAATAAATAAATAACTTCAAATTACCTTGCTAATAGGATAAGCAATAGGAAAGAACAACCATAAGAGGACACGAACAAAAGGTGCAAGTGTTGCTCCAACAGTTAAGCCATAACGTGTACAAACTGCTTGTGGCATTATCTGTTCAAAAGAAAATTTTACCAAATTATAATATTCTAGTTTCAATCTTTTTCTTATTAAGACATTATATGTTGAAAATTGCTATGTATTTTGATGATATTGCTATAGTTGGGTTGACTTTTCAAAGTAAAATGTTGTATTGACAAATACGAACCTCTCCAAACATCAGGATTAATGTCACTGATATCAGAACTGCAGCCCATGGAGGAACAAGTTTATCCAGAAAAATTGGAAGAGACTACAGAAGATACAAACAGAGAAAGATGATGATTACTTGATGTAAGAGAGAAAATGTTATGAAGAAATTGTGGAAGTTGAACAAACCTCCATTGCTAAAGCATTGCCAATTAAGAGTGTACAAAGCAGTAGATGTTGATTCTTCACCACTGGGAATATTTTAGCTGACATCAAGAGAATTCCATATATTAGAATAACAAAAAACAACAAGATATGATGTGTGAATCATGTTATTTCTTTTCATGGATTTCAAAATGTAGAGGTTTTGATGATGTTGTTCGTGATCATCATTCGTCATCGTATTGCAGATCATAGAATCGTTTTTCCCCCAAATTTCCTTTCGGTATCGATAAAACTTTCCAAGGTACTTTTCAGAAAGCGATTAGAGAAATAGTATGTGATGATAGCTTTTAATGAATGATCTGATTTCCAGCTCAGAACAACGAAACAACACTTGATTATCAAGGTTTGAAGAAATTATTTGATCATTTCGGGAGTGTATAAACATACATTCAATTACGAGTCCAGGTTGCTCTTTTGGAATCGATTGTTCATCAAAAATCACCAAAACAACAGAAATTTTCAATTTCAATTCCTCGGAGGAGAACAGTAACAATCCGAGTCGATCTAATTAAACCTCACACACATAATTCAACAGAAAAACAAAATTCATGTCCTCTGTGAGTTTGTCTGGTAAGAATGAAGCAGTAGAACTTACAAGCATGTATGCGATCTTTAGGGCGACCGGACTGGATGAGAACTTCAAGGTCGACGAGTCCAAGCGACATGAGTCCTAGCGTTAGACCTGCCATCATCCCTGCAAACGCTACCAGACCGACGATTACCATCAAATACAGAAAGAATTCCGTCTCACAGCACGTCACTTCCGACATTTCCTTTCGATATCAATTAACTAAACAGAATTCCACTTGGTTTCTTCTTAATCAAGTGATTGATTTGTGAAAAAGCAGTGAATTTGACGAAAAAAATGGAAACTTAATACTGGTGCAGAGGCAACTTCAACAAGAATATTTAGAGGATCTCGTGGATTTCAATGAAAATGGTCTATGATTGCTCCACCCAAGGAGTAAAATAAAAATGTTGTAAAGCCCCCCAAAACAACCCACTCAACAAAAACCGATATAACTCTACAAGATAAACGTGAAGCTATGGAAAATAAATTATAAATTATAATATATATTCAAAGAAACTAAAAAATAAGATAAAATTGCAAAAATGGTCCCTATGGTTGTCAAAATTCTGTGTTTTTTGTCCAAAACGAAATGTTGGTGCACCATTGGTTCAAAATTGGATATTTTTAGTGATTTTGGTCCCTATCCACTTAAAAGGACAATTATACCCTTTATATTTGTTTTTATTATTTGTATATAAGTCTTAATGATTTTAAGTAATTAAAAATTAGAGAATGACTCTCTCTCTCTCGCTCTCTCTCTCTCTCTCTATCTCTCTCTCTTCTGTCTTTGACTTGTGAAAGTCAAATGAACTAATGAGGAGACATGCTAAAGGTTTTTCCTTCCCTGATCAAATTGAAGCCATATACAAGTGAATGAAAGAAAATTAATCAGTTCTTCTTTTTCTCCTCGTAACCATTCACCACCTCCATCTTTCTTGAAATGATGTTAAATAAAGGGCATAACCCTCTAAAGCCTCACGAATCTACAACCCAAATTCATCAGTTTTGAAACACCACCATTTCACCACCCTTTTACTCCACCATAGGACCACCTTGCACCACCCTTTATTGACCAAAATGACAACCAAATACTACCCAACCTTTACGTTTTCTATTTACCTTTCTTCCTTCACTACCGAGAACAAGCACCACCAAGGAGTGGTGGTGGTGTTGTTGTTGTAACCGTCGAACACCACTAAAAACCACTACCGGTGGCTTTAACCATCGTGAACTACACCAATAACCCACCACAAACTCCACCTTATATCCCCTACTGTTAGATTAATCAAACACCACCTAAGCACCCTCAAACACCACCAGTCGCCATCCACGGTTACTCCAACCACCTCCTCCCACCAAGGTTGCCGGAAAAACGAGAAAGAAGGAAACCCGACAACTTACTGCCATTATCCTCCATAACTGCTATTTTTGAATTACTTTCCCTTTTATCTTCAACTCATCACTTCCGTCGAGCATAAGTAGGAACGAAGTAGCAAGAGACCGCCCGGAGCAGCCTCCTTCCGCACGTCGCTACTAGCTGCCACTCTAAATTTCTAAATCAAAATCCAAATCCGGATAAATCAGATCTAGTTGAGAGGATACAAAGTCGGTTTCAAGGATCTGTGATTGACATTCCCCTCCTAATTCGAGTGGTCGATGATGGCAGCTTTAGGGTTCTTTAGTTGACGCCTTCACTTGATTTTGTGATTCCGGTTGTTTGAGCTTAAATTTGTTAATGGTGTCACGATCTTATAGTGGGTTCTTTAGGGTTCTGCACAATGTCCCCTTGAGAGAGGAGAGAGAGAGAGGATAATAATTTCTTTTTCTTTTTCTTTTAGTTAAAATAATAATAAGTTAAATAAAATAATTTAAAATGAAATATTTAAGGGTATATTTGTCATTTTAAATAAGGTATGCACCAAAACCACATCAAAATACCAACCATAGGGACCAAAAACACAAAACATATCTGAAATTGGACCACTGATGCATCGTCAAACTTTTTTGGACCTAGACCACATAATTTTACCAATCATAGGGACCATTTTTGCAATTTTGTCAAAAATGAACATGTATCTTTGGGTGAATATAAAATTTGGTCATAGAGTCTAGCCTGTTTTTAACTTTTATGGTTTGGTCATCTAAGGATATTTTTTTTAATCATGATCTTTATTTAAAGTTTTTTTGTAACGGTTTTGATATGTATACTACAAGTAAAATGAGTATATTGTTTTTTATATAAACTTTATAAATGTTTGTTATTTATTTTAGATTTTATATCATCATTATATTAATTAGGGTCACACCACAGCCACCACCCCCATACCTCTATGTCATTGTCATTTCATTGTTATAAGGTTTTGTTTTAAAAAAGAAAACCCTTGACAACAACATGTTTGAAATGATGGTATAAAATAGTAAATAATATCTTTCAAAATACTATTTTTTATTGTGGGAGTCACGAAATATGAACTTCTCACCATTTAAGTTCAATTAAGTAAAATATATGGGGTTTATTACAATAAAGTAAAAAAGATTAGGTCCGAGGTCGCGCTCGGGGGACTTATGTTTCCAGGACGGCCAAGGAGAGTGTCTCCCGTTCTCCTATCTATTGATTGATTCATTGATTGGTCGTTTCTAACATTTGTCACCGACAGGAGCATGAAAAGGTTCCATATGGTGACCTTTTATATATGTAATGCCTCACTCAGACGGAGGTTTGCCTTCACATTTCCTTTGCCCTTGCACTTTATTTATCTAGTATAGCTCTAGGTTCTACACATTCGAGCAGGATCTGTAGGGGTCACTGGGTTACTAGGTTGACCTTATCTTATGAGGTTGATACTAGTGGGATAGTTCCTATGCCTATCTGGGAGATGGGCATTATCGCTCTCGGGAAAGAGTGGGTTTTGGTTCGGGGAGTGGGGCAGCAGTGGAGGATTCCAGAGGATGATATCGTGGAGTCGATCCAACAGGTGGAGTCGGAGGACATCCCTAAGCCGACCTTCATGAGACGTCAGAGGCGTAAGTACATGAAGCCTGACCAGCCAGAGTTGACTCTACGTGACGTGATACAGTGTCTGGTTGCTGCACAGGAATAACGTCGTTGGATTATGTAGTCAATCATTGGGGTGATGCGGCATCTGGGGATGGACAATTCACCTTTTCCTAGGTCGGGTCCTGTTGTTTAATCCCCATCTCATCCATGGGGCGTCAGTCATGATGGTGTAGGCACTTTAGGCACACATCCCGGAGATACTGACGATGATAGCGATGAGGGCACGGAGGACAAGGAGGCTAAGTATGAGAGCATCGATGAGTAGGTTGAGGTTTTTGGGATTTATACATTGTATTTTGATACTTACATGTATATCGATACATTGTATGTATGTTGTTGTATTTGTATATATGGTTTTTGTTTTATCGCTTATTTATCCCAGTTCAATCGCTTATTTAGGAGTGACTCAAACTCTACATACTGAACCATCATGGATATCCATCTTTCTGGATTGCGTTTTAGATTTGTATATGTTATTTGATGTTGGCGATTGTTATTTTTTTGTACTTCATGGATATCCGTCTTATTATCTTTTTAGGATATGTTATTAATCCTAATTAACTATCTTTGTAGGATAACTAACAACCCAAATGTATTTTATCTACCATTCTAAAGCATCCCTAATGGTAGTCGGATCTCTAAGGTTTTCGTAACGTATTACCATGATCCTTCATAATCGACATTGTTTGACTAATAATTTGCCCAGCCATGACGCTTCATTAGACGTCGAATAGTGAATAATAAGAAAGTTATCATGTTGGGATTGTAGCTAGCAATCACAGGTGGGCGTGTCAATCCCTGTATAGATCTATACATATCTTTCTAGCTCTCGCAAGATTAACAATTATAGGTACAGGGGAATGCCGAATTTAATTAAGGCCTATGGAAGAATATTATCAACTCACTAACACATTAACCTTAGGTCTTTGTCTGTGATCTTTTATCCTTCCTGGGGATTTCTTATAACTATCACAATATAAATCTTTTATGTTATATTTATTAATTATAACTTTTGATTTCATAATTATTTTGTGTATATATATATACACATACTGTAATTATGGTTCTTTGAAAACAGGATATTTGGATAGAGTAACAATTAAGTACAATGCATATCCCTACATTTAATCAGCATAACTTCTAGGTAGTACGTTATCATATGGATTTGCCCATTATAACATCTAGATATTATCTCTTCCTAAACTATCGGACATCGTAACTCTTAGACATTATATCATAACTTATAACTATGCATGATATTTATAGCTACATTATCCTAACACTTTAAGCTTTATAAAATGGTTTAATATTTATGTACATAAAAATATTTTGATAAAAACCATTTGATAAGCGTGTAACCCCCCCTGGTAAAGCATTTAAAATAAAGAAATAGGGCTTGTAAACTCACTCTAGTAGTGTATTCTGAAGCATCCATGCCATTGCACCCAAAGCTTTGCGCCATTGGGAGGTCTTCCGAATCCACTTGAGAGGTATAAAGAGGGTTTAGGGAGAGTGTTTGGGATGAGAAAATCATAAAGTGAGCACCTCTATTTTTAGTGGTTGTGCATGTGGCGCACTTCATGCGCAATATGCACTCGCTTCATAGCTCCATCCAGATCTTGCTATGTTTCACGCTTCTAATGGTCCACGTCTCCCTAATCTTCGATGAATTTGGGTGTTATGTGTGTGCAACGGGCATGGCGTGCACTTGGTATGCACCCTTAAATATTTTTAAAAAATTCATATATTCCTTATATGAATCTTGTATCTTACCATCTTTACATATTTGTGTAGCTCTCTACTAGTAATAGAACTTTCCTTAAGGTCACGTTGCCAAATTTTGACTTTCATTTTTAACCTTTATTTTATATTTTTCTAAAACTCGTATCTCTTTCATACAAACTCTGTTTTTGACATTTTTCCTTTCAAAGTATTTATCTCTCATATTGCTACGAATTTCCTTTTAGTGACGTTAGCCGAAATTCAACCAATTTCTCTATGCTATTTTGACGTTAATAGTATTATTAATACGGTTGGTTTTTATCTTTTATAAAATCATAACTCCTCCAATCGGAGTTAGATTTTTTCAACAATTATATCCTTAGAATCACTTTATTGTGTACTTTCCAAATACACAAACCGTCATAAAAATGATATAACTTTTTGGTCGCTCATTTTTTATCCTATTATTATCATTTAACTGATCGTATTTTCCTTCAATATGAGAAGTTCTATCCTTAGCATCGGTTGATGTTAATCTCTAGTGACAATTGGTGATGGGAAATTCCTAATTATTACATATACCAATAACATATCATTTTTCTCCTTGGGTATTTCAATATGTTCTTTACTATTGTTCAATGACTTTTCGCCAGGGTTGTCTTGAAAGCGACTCAGCATGCTCAGAGCATATAAGACTTTAGGTCGAGTACATGTCATGACATACATAATTGATCCAATAGCAGAAGCATATAGGACTCAAATCATATTGTCTTGTTCATCACTAGATATGGATTGAGTATTACTCAATTTAATGTCAAGTTGCGTGGGTAAAAAACATTTCTTGGAGTCTTGTATCTTGAACCTCTTCAATGTTTTATCCAAACATGTACTCTGGCTAAATCCTATTAGACATTTTGATCTATCTCTATAGATTGTTATTCTAAGTATATATACATCCTCTCCTATATCCTTCATAGCAAAACAACTCCCAAGCTATGTATTCACACCTTGCAATGTTGGGACTTCATTTCCTATAAGCAATATGTCATCTGATGGATTTTATACAAACAATCGTATGTGTGCATGCAACCCTAGATTTGGATCTATGTTTTCACTATTAGATACACAACATTATGAACACATGAATAAAACCCTAATGTAGCTTGCTATTTTCAAAATTCATATATAAGTTTAGATCACATACCTCTTGTTGTTATATTGCAATAACAACTTAAATCTTCAAACCCTTAGTCTTGAAAGCAAGCACCACAAGTGTAGTGCCTCTAATGGCTCACAAACACCACAAGCAATTGGAGAGGTTATAGAGAGAGAATGGAGGAGGTAGAAATCAACCTTGGGAGCTCTTAGAATCAAGTGGACGTTTTCTCAAGGCCTAGGGGTCTTTATATAGTGTTGAGATTAGGGTGTTAGTCCTTATCCTTATCTAGTTGCTTGCCTATCAAGTAACCATAAGATAAGCCTTAATAACCCTTATCTATTATCCCTTTGGACGATTTCAAGGATATCCAAACCCTTGAATTCGTCCAACCCTAACAAAGGATAACCACTGCCTTATTTTGCAACTATCACATAATTACAATTCAGCCCCTCTAGTTTAATTAATTACACTTGATCACAAAATTAATTCCTAATTAATTATTGACCAATATTAATTAAACAAATATGATTTCTCCTTTAATATATTATTCTTATAACATATTAATAAATCATAATAACCTCTTTCTCTATTTATTTCTCCAGTCAAGTTGCTTTGGTGAAGACAACCCAAAATGACCATGCACAACCGGGTCAAGTACTTACCAAATATGGTTACGGGCTTAGACACTAATCCAACAGTCTCCCACTTGGATAAGTCTAGTAACCACAAATGTAACGTACAAATCGATTAGCAATTTTAGCTCTCAAAGACGCTGTCGAACTCTGATCTCATCAGTAACCTGTCCTTTAGATAACGGATCGTACAGTCCTCTGTTTAGATATTGTGCGGACAATCTCATGGAACTAATTGTCCAGCAGTTGGTTTCTCAATCTCATATTCATTTGACATAGAACTTAATTGAACACATCAATTCAGTCCTGACCGGGCCCGACACATATGTCAAATCAAATCATCGAGCGGCCGTGATATCGCTTTTACCCTTTTAGGATAGAAGTAGCAGATAAACTTCGACTTATATGCATTTACTATTTATTAATCAACTATACACAATAATGCGTTTTATGACATCAATTTACTGATGCGGTTTCGCATTATCAACGTACAACCAATTAGTAAAAAATAAACCATATATCTTGGTTTTAAGACCATATGATCGTCTTGCGATCACTTTTGTCACATTCCATAAAATGATTCCAGCAAGCGCGGGTTTATTCCAATACTCAAAACTTGTTCATAAGCACTCATGAACGTTGCAGCAAACCTTTGCTATGTTTAATACCTTTTAGACACTCTACATACCAATTCATGACAATCTTCATTCATACCTACTCCCAACATATGAACGACTGTGGACCATTCGAATAATTTGATTATTCTTAATAACTCAATTATTCAGGAAGTCAAAACATGCAAATTGAAACAATAGTTAAACAATTAACATAGGATAGTAACTTTACTTATAAGTAATACTCATTTATTTAATCATCAAATGTCAATTACATTTATCTATTATATGTTTCTAAAACTATCTAATCTAAACTAATATCATCCTTCAGCCCAATGCTCCTAACATGCTGCAAGTGCTTAACCCTACTCAGTACCTTCGTAAGTGGATCAGATGGGTTATCTTCTGATGATATCCTCTTAACCACGAGGTGTCCTTCTTCTACTTGATGTCTAATAAAGTGATACTTTCTATCGAGATGCCGAGATCTACCATGATCCCTTGGTTCCTTGGTCAAGGCAACCACTCCTTCATTATCATAGAAAATTTCCATAGGCTCCTTTATGGCAGGTACAACTCCAAGGTCACCAATGAAGTTCTTCAACCATATTGCCTCCTTCGATGCTTTGCTCGCTGCAATGTACTTTGATTCGCACATTGAATCATCTATAGTTTCCTGCTTGGAACTTTTCCATGTCACTGCTCCTCCATTTAGGGTAAAGACCCAGCCCGACTGCTAACGGTAGTTGTCTCTGTCGGTTTGGAAGCTGGCATCACTATACCCTCGCACCTTCAAGTCATCACTCCCTCCGAGGACTAAGAACCATTCCTTGGTCCTCCAAAGGTACTTAAGTATATTCTTGACCGCAATCCAATGAGCTTTGCCTGGGTTCCCTTGATATCTACTGACCATGCT